GGGAGGAAGTAGGCGTTTGTCGAGAAAAGAGGAAACGAGTCCGCGCGGGCGCGCCAAGGAGGATGAGGAAGCGTGACGTCACCGCCAACAATGTCAATTAAGGTCCCATTCATTGAGCTCACCCGGCAAATATGTCAGCGGAACTGAGGATCGTTTCAGCACAAACGGCGCCATGACTTGACCTTGGGTGGTATCTGCTCCACCCTGTACGAGCACAACTGGCTCACAAAACACAAGAGAATCAGATACTGTCAGGAGGCTAACGTTTGCTTTCATTTCAATAATGGAGCCGTGGTTGCAATATGATGCGGTTTGCATTAAAGGCATTCATCAGTGGCGTGATATTGCCACTTTGACGAATTGGAAAATTCTAATTTCCGTGTTTTCTTGTAAAATGACTTATCAGTTGAAAAATGAAGACTTGATTCTTGAACAATCTAATGACTTTTTTTTTTCTTGTAAAGAATTTGTTGTCAGACTTTCAGGTAATAATTATGACATCGTACAGTTACATTTCTCTCGTGAGAGTGCGACTTTTGTCTTATTGAATGACGAACACGTTTTGCCTGATAAAATTTCTCCTGAGATTTTTCCGTTAAAACTATTTTTCATGGATGATAATTTTTCTCAGATATGACTTGATTCTTGTCCTCTTTTTGATATCACATGATGACGTCACACCATTTACAAAGCTGACCATCCCAAATCAGAAATACTGAAACTTTTTGTCAGATTCTTTACACCTCAAAAAATATTTTGCTTTTTGGTCATACAATTCTAAACCCTCTCCTAAAATAGTGTTTACTCAATAAACAACAACGTGAAAATCGACGGTTAACCGAAAAAAGGCTCATTGCGGGTCACTCCTCCAAGTTTGCCAGGCAAAGAATCTTACGGAGCGCCTCGAGGGAACATTTATTATTTAACGACGACATCCACAAAGAGGGATAATCCACTTTACTTGCGAATCCTCAAAAGCGCCGGTGATTATCCCACCGTGAAAATGCGGCGATTTTGAAAAAGCACAATGCCCTCTATCATCCCTTTTCATTAAAAGGCCGCATGTGGGCTGTCTGCCTCGAAAATAGACAAACCATGAGGCTACGCAGGGCGGGATGCGGCCCAAAGCAAAAGTAGTGAACCTGCGTTGGATTAACTCGTCCGTTTTATTGCATCACTCGCATCCCCGCGGGCGCTCGGGTCTGCGAAGCGTCAATCGGCATCTACGCAACGCAAAATGACGTCACGTGCGTCCCTGGCCAACGCTTTGTACGTTTCGGAACGAATAACATCCCAAATCGCGGTGCGCACTTCCAGCGCAAGGTCCCGAGTAGGCAATAAAATAAATATTCTGTGGTCGAGTGGTTCTTTTTACTCCGCGTACTGCACATTGCATGCGGCAATTGTTTTATAGTGCTACATAAATAAAGTTGAGTTGATAGGGTTTGGTTGAGTTGCTTGCCTGTGTATGCTTTGGCAGCATTTATGTATGACATCGACGAGAATGACAATTGAGAAAATAGTCGGAAAAACGGAGTTTTTGAGTGGGGGGGGGGGGGCTTGGTGCGGACGGCGACCGTCTTGAACCAAAACATACTCGTCGACAAACAGATCTATGGCGCATTAAACTGAGGTAAACAGGTGACAACATGCGTTATAAATGAACGCTATATGTCTCATGGACGCACACCGAAAAATGCCGCCGCTCCCCCTTCAAAATAAAAACCTCCTTTCTGTTACTGTTTCAAAATAACCCGTCGCTCTGCCGCCTTTTCGCCAGCGCGTTATCAGTCAGCATCAAGGTCAGCGGCGCAAACAAAAGAGAGGCCAAACAACGCAACAAATACGTGTTTACGCTGGAAGGCATTTGTTTGTGGTGTTAGCCATGAGGCTACGGAAGTCTCCGATGGCGCGAGAGCGTCGGCGCCTCACCCGAGGTCAAAACATACTTATTCGACACAAAGTGAGATCCTAAAAAAAACTCTACAACCTCAACATTGTGACTTAAAAATAGTAATATTACGTTACAAACAAATTCTGAGCTGCTTTCCGGCTTACAATGTACATAGCGACGACATGTCGCTCAGCCTAATAGCAAATATATAGCCCAAGTCATTTTTCACTTGCTGTCAGATTACATATATTAATATACCAAAGCGCTTGCTCATTTTTTTTTGTCAGTAATACAGGGTAATTAAAAAATGAATAAAGGCAACTAGCCAATAAGTTAAAAAAATGACCTATTGTGCTGTCGAATAGATGATATTAAAATGATACAATACAAAACCGTACGATAACATTGATTATAGGTGAGTTGTTTCTGACGCACGTTTGAGCTTAACTGTTTGCTAATGAAACTAATTGCCTCATTACAACGCTTCGTGACGGTGCATCGATATGATCCTAAAATAAGCGGTTAATTGAATATTCACAAAAATTGAAAGACGTTCCAAAATTCCACATCGCCCAACTTGTGCAACATTACGACCATTCATTTTCCGAGCTTCTCTTTTCTACTTTTTTTTCCTATAATTTGTCATTCAAATCAATAACCCAGTGTGCGGACAATCAACTGATCCACATTAGCGTCTTTCAGCACGATGAACAGGCTCACCAAATAGCCAAGGCGTCATTCAAATCTACCCTCGCGCCTCACCGATCGATCAAGAGCACCGTCACAGCCGGGCACTTTACAAACATTAGCCTACATTACCGCCGACGTGACCTTATTTGATCTTTGACCAAAAAAAAAAGAGGAGTCGATAATTGCATGTAAGAAGCGAAGTGTAGCCATTAAGCATCGAACGACAGAGCTCATTATATCCTTCCTGCCTGGATTGTGACCCCCATCAATTACTAAAAGGCGCTTATATTAAGGTGCTCCCCTTGGGCCACTATAAATATATATGACAGGGTTGTGACAGAGCGAGGGTGTGGCGGGGGCGTAGACAAAGGAGTCACACAAAGCTCTGTCATACCACTTTGCTCCTCAAGGGGGACCTGTGAGCCAGCAAGTTTTTTGACAGACTCTCATTTTCGGTTTATTTCTGGTTCCCTAGTTTTAGTCATACGTACTTGCAATAGGGAAGGGGGGGGGGGGTGTTAAGGAGGCTTGCGATGGTGTCGAAGTCCCGCCCGTACCGTCTGGCAGGCGACAATGTGTCATCTGGAGCAGCAGAATCAAAGCTTATGAATTATAAATTAAGATAACGGCCTGTTGCTTGTCTATGAATCACATAAGGCAAAAAAAAAGTTGGAGTAAGTAAATAGAAAAACAAATTCACAAGGAATTGTAATGATATAAAGAATTAAAGGCAATAATTCATTCTTGCTGCCTGTCTACCTATGCAACAAAGAAAAAAACCCAAATACTTAGTGTTTTTTTAAAAAAAATTAATACAAGTATCAGTTTTGCAGATTGATCAGTCAAGGAAATTCAATAATGCAATTATCAGGGAAAAAAAAAAGAAAAGATTGCTTCTCACAATGTAAAAAAAAATTGCAGGAAAAAAAAGCAATTTTATATGACTGATGTGACAATTTGGCACTGGCAAAGAATCTAATTATGGTTTGCCCAGTGGGGACCCCCTCTGTATCACCTCTCTATAGACTTCATGTAACACCCACCCCCCAAATTGTCTCCGCCACCCAACCTCCACCACTTCCACCCAAAGGCCATGCTTCAATGGACGTACCATCCCTCTAATTCTGTGTGTGTGTGTGTGTGTGTGTGTGTGTGTGTGTGCGTGCGTGCGTGCGTGCGTGCATGTGAGTAAGGGTGCGTGCATGAGTAAGGGTGATCCCAATTCAACCCCACCCCCCTCCCACCCCAAAATACCCAGCCCAGGTCATGTGACCAAGGCAGGGATGAATGGCTTTTTTTTTTGTTGGGCGGAGGAGGAAGTCATGGAAACAGTTCCATTGTCTGACTGTCTCTGTCTGCCGGCCTGTATGTGTGAGTGTT